CCGTCTTCCAGCCTGTCATTCCTTCCTTCCTTCAATCCAGAAATTCTGAGTGTCTACAGGGTTCTAGATGCTGGAACCAGACACCAGACCTCTGTTCCCCCTGTACTCCCTTCAAGGAGGAGAGACGGACCTTAAAGCAAGCAGATCAGAAACCATTTCAGATAGTGATAAAGGACATGAAAATGGTGCGACAGGGTGGAGAGGTGGGTGTGAGCAGACCCCAACTTCAATGCAAGTCAGAAAAGGCAGCTTGAGGGCCGTCCCTACCCTAGTGGTTATAAGGGAGCTGGGTCCCACGTGGCCAACAGCAGTGTGAATCCTGGGTCCAGGGAAAAACAAGCCGGGGACTTGTGCGTGTGCACCTGTGCCTCAAATCCTGGCAAGGTGGAGAAACGGGGTCAGGATGGTGGCATGACCACGCCCCACTGGGGAGGGTTTTCTCTCTCTGTTTCAGTTCCTGTCTGTTTCTCTGCCTTTCTCACTGAAAAGCACACTGCCTTGGGTCAAAAACAAAGCAAAACAAAACAAAACAGAAGAAGAAAAAAGGCAGCTCCAAGTCATATTTGAATTGAAGAACCCAAAGGATGAAAAGGAGCCAGACTTGGAAGGATCTGGAGAGAAACTTTTCCTGCAAAAGAAAGCGCAGTGCCAATATCCTGATGACCAAGTGAGCTTGGGTGGATCCGCAGCTGCAGCTAAGGAAGGAAGGAACAGAGAGGTCACAGAGGCAGGCAGAGGCAGATAATGCAGGGCCTTGCAGGCCAAAAGAAGAGGTTGGGTTTCATTGTAAGGATCAGCACAATGAAATGGGTTGTCTGGAAGGACTTTCAAGACTCGGCTCCTCCTGCACCTCATTCCTTCCTTTTAGGCTCCCTTGTGAGAATTATTCAGTTTCTTTGTATCATTCTTTTTCACCAGCTGCTACTTGTGTTCATTTTGCAAACTTAAGCAAACTGGTCAAGGAATGTAATTATATTTTAGCAACTAAAGTTACTGAGTTCCATGTCAGGCACAAATACTTTCCCAACAATGTAAGGTAGGTATTGTATCATCATTTACCTTCATTTTACAGAGATGAGAAAACAGAGACCGGGAAGCAGACTATCAGATTCAAGGCTGGCCATGCGAGTGTTAAAGGGCTGAACCTATAGAAGAAAAGAGGGCCGGGCCAGCAGGTGTTGTGATGGTGAAAGCAGCTGGAGCCCACATGGCAGACTGCAGTTCGAATCCTGGACCTAGAGGCTTGGGAAACACGCTGGGCACAAGTGCCTGTGTGCTCAAAATCCCCAAAGGAGGGAGAAGTGGAGGTGGGATTGTGGTGTGAGCACCGCCCCCTCCGTGGGGAGAGTTTTCTCCGTCTCTCCCCGTCTCTGAGAGCACGCACGCCCTCTGACAAATTTAAACAAGGAAAAAAAAGTAAAAAAGAACGAACATGGGCCCAGCTTGACGCTGCACGCTGTAAAGACACAGTGCACTATGCGCTGGGAACACACAGGGGCCTGGGTTCAAGTCCTGGTCTAACTATAGGCTGCGGGCCGTGACTTGTGCCTGTCACCCCGGCTGAGGCAGGAGCCTTGCAAGTTTGAGGCTGGCCTGAGCGACACCTTGTCTAAAACACACACACGAAAGAGAGGAGAGGGTTTGGGCTAGAACTCCAGAGAGAGTGAGAGAGATGGGGAGGGACCGGGGAGATAAAGGGGTGCTAGAAAGAGGAGGAGGAGACACAGCAAACACTGTCGCAAAAGGCAAGGAACAGGTCTTGGACTGTAACAGAATTTCCGAACTCCACGGAGTTGAGCAGCAAAGGGAAGTTTAGATCGGATCTCTGCCGGGGATGATCGCTTATCGAACCTCCCGTCCCAACAAAACTGTAGACTAGATGGGTCGGCAGGAGGCGTGGTGGTTAAGGGTGCTGGACTCCCACATGGTCCACCATGGTTCGAGTCCTGGACCTGGCAGCTTTTCTCACTTTCTCTCTCTCTCTCTCTTTCTGTGTCTCTCTGTTCAACACACTTGCTCTAGAGCAAATTTTTAAAATAATAATCAGTAAAATTAAATAATTAATTATTTTTAAAAAAAGGTTTATAGTTTTTTGAGTTTATTTTTAGAATGATTTGATTTAACTATTTATTTACTGACTTTAATTTGACCAGTGAGGAGCACAGCGACAGAGAGAGAGAGAAAGTGAGAAATCGAGCCGCCGCCAGGTCCGGGACTCGAGCCACAGTCAGCCATGTGGGAGTCTAGCACCCTTAACCACCACGCCCCCTGCTGGCCCCCAAATAAAATACTTCTTTTAAAAACAAAACAAAACCGTAGACTAGAGGCGGTCACTGTCACCAGCTGCCATGCTCCGTTTCTACCAGCAGAGGGCCGCAAAGGCACGGGAACGCCAGCGAAGCCCTCCCTCGCCGGCTTCTGCTCCGCTAGGGCAGGAGAGTTTCTGGGGTGCGTGGCGGGGAGGGGGGACCGTAGGCCGCTTGGTCTATCGCTCCCGTGTCAGCTAGGTATGTCATCCAGGACAGTTGGATCACCTGAGTGAGAAGTATGGAAAGGCGGAACTTCTGAACGCCTGGGAAGGGGAGAGGGGTACTTGGGATTTGGATTACAGTTCCCGCCACCTTCAGGCGACCCTTAACACAAAGCCAAGCCTCCTACTCGGCGCAGGACAGGTCACAGAGGGATCTTACAGCTTCTCATTACTGATTACGTTGTATTTTCTGGAAAATTTTAAAAAAAGACAGAAGTTCCAGAAATAATAAAAAAAACAAAGGTTACGCTTAGAGAGGTGTCACTCAGTCTCCATCCCTGCCACCTGATTTCTGCCCACCCAGCCTTTGCAGATGACCAGTTGTTACCAATCGGTGGTTACTGATCAGTTGTCCACCCCGTTTCTTGAGTGGAAAAAGACACATCCAGGCATGTGTGTGTCTTTCATTTCTGGCACAAAAGATAGTATACTACACACACACACGTATGCATTTGTTCTAGTACTATATAGATTATACATGTATACTAGTACTTTACACAAATTTATCAATTATGGGGCAGCAGGTGCTGTCGTCGTTAAGGTGCTGGACTCCCACATGGCCGACCACAGTTCAAGTCCCAGACTTGGCGACTTGAAAATCACGCCAGGCGGGGACTAGCAGTTGGCGTAATGGCTATGTTGCTAGACTCCCATGTAGTGGACCGTGGTTCATGTCCCAGACCCGGTGGCTTAAACTCACGCTGGGCGCGTGTGCGTGCGTGCCCAAGGTCCCGAGAGGAGAATGGAGGAGAAGGGATTCCGGCGTGGCCATCCCCCCTGGGGGGTGATTTCTCGCTTTCTGTCTCTGTCTTTCCGGTGAGCGCACGTGCCCTATAGCAAAAACCTCTCCAAAAAAAAAAAAAAAAAAGGCTGTGTCCTACTCCACTGTGTGGCTGTATGAGTTTCCTGGGTGAATTCTGTATGTGTGACACTTAGGTGGCTCCCATTATCTTGCCATTACAAATCACGCCGCAATGAAGAACGGTGTGCACGTTAAGCGGTCAGATGTGTGCCCCAGGGCTAAGTCCTCGGCGTGTGATCACGAGCCTGAACACGCAGTGTGGTTACCTATCGCAAACCTCCCTCTCGAGGTGGCACTCTTCTGCACTCCCAGGAGCAGCTCACGCGCTTCTTGACAGTGGTGTCGAGCTCTTGGAGTGTTTTCATGCTGATACGGAGGATATTTTATCATTAAAAAAAAAAATTCAGAGGGCATGTGAGCTTGCAGGGCAGATAAAGAGAATGTAAGAAGGAGAAAGAGGGCCAGCAGGTGGCATGGTAGTTGGGGCACTGGATGCTCTCGCATGGTCAACTACGGTTTGAATCCTGGACCTGGTGGTTTGCTTTTTCACTTTCCTTTTCTGTCTGTCTGTCTCTGGTCAAATGAAAATGAATTAATAGATACAATAAATACCTCCTTCTTTGAAAAAAATGAATGAAAGAAATAAAGAGAAAGAAAACACACCCATGGGAGATGGTCATACCACAATCTCTTCACCATTTCTCCCTCCTTTCGAGATTTTGGGCATGCACACACACACGCCTGGATGCCTGGTCTGGACTCAAACCGAAAAGTCAATCACGTGGGATCCTGCTGACTTCACCACCACACCACTAACTCGCCCATGGCCTAATTTTAACTTGTATTTCTCCCATGAGGAAAGCTGAATATATTTTCATATACTTGAGGGCCATTTTTACAATTCTTTTTACTTGTCTGTTCATGTCTTTTGGCCCACTTATCTATATTCTTTTTAAAAAATTTTTTATAATTATTTAATTTTATTTAGTCATTCGTTTTTGTTTGTTTGTTTAATTTGATGAGAGAGACAGAGAGGGAAAGTGAGAAAGTGAGCCCCAGTCCTGGGACTCAAACTACGGTTGGCCACATGGGAGTGTCCAGCACCTTAACCACAACACCACCTGCTGGTCCTCTTATCTATATTCTTTTTTTTT